TTCTTTATCATGGAGAGGAAATCTGCTTCAAAAAATATGTAAAAAAGAGAGAGAGAGAGAGAGAGAGAGAGAGAGAGAGAGAAAATGCTTTGGTTAAGTGATTCTTTGTAATAAGCACAAGGCTCTTAAAAAACATCTTATTCTTAGCACTACAAAACTACAGCAGTACAAAGCACTGGGAAAGAGGGCATGGCAAGATATGTGGGTCACAACAAAGTAACCCTTAAAATAGCCATATCCTCTGGAAGGCTTCAAGCAGTTGGTTTGTAGGCTTTCCCCCACTGTCTATATGTGTGCACACACAGCTGCTTTGCTGGCAGTACCAACAAACAATGGTTCCTAGTAATAGTTTTGCTTTGATGAACAAAAGAATCTAAGGATTGCTTAAAATTTCAGTCTTACATACACTGATTATTACTAGAACTCAAAGGCATCAAATCTGATTATCCCAATTTAGCGAAGATTAGAGAAAACAAACTTCTACATTCAAGATAAAAGAAGGCTCTGCTCTGAAATTCACAGGACAGCCAGTCTAGCTAAAAATTATTGCTGCCTCTCAAGCCTTTATATCTTTTTATAGGCTATATGCTCATAGTGGGGAATCAGTCAAAACATATGAAGCTCTAAGTTCTTTAGATACAATCTGGATATTTCAAAGACTATTTTCACTCACATAAATATACTCATGGAAACAACTCACTCTTTTGTGGTATCATCCCAATCTATACCAGGAATGAATCCCCTATATTTCAGCAGTTGGTTTTACATCCATAAAATCTGAATGTAATTGTGTTGATACTATTTAATAAAGTGTTATGAATTTTAACTTGTGTTGAATGTTGGAACTTTAGGCTGAAAAAATATGCTTTTTTAAATTTATGGTATACATGAAGGATGCTCTTTTTCCCTTTTTTAAAAAAAATTGGTTTGAGAAGCTACACCTGTAAGAATTCTGCAAATATAAGATTCTACTGTATGCAGATAATATGTTTTATAGATAAGTCAGAAACTTCCTTACTTCATTTCACTACATGACAGAGTAGCATCCTGTCTGGTTGCTCATAAATTGGAATGAGTTAGAGGCCAATGGACCTCAGCAATATTTTTGACATGTTTAGGGACTGCGGGTTTATGTTGTGTTTTCATTTCTTTGTTTATTGCGGTTTAAGTTTTCTAGAAGGCTTTCTCAAGCAGTAAGTTTAAACATCCATATTTTGACACATATTGAAAAAGACTTTAACAGATGGTGCAGAACTTCTTTCAATATTTCAGTGAGATAAATGTGATTAATCTGCATTTAACTTCAAGGCTGATTTATATTTTAGGAGATCTTGCTATTTTTAAGTCATATATATGTCATTTAATTCTGATTACTGACTGGAACAAAGAATTTCGGAATTCAGTTCCTACTTGGCTCAGCTTGAGAGTTACTAACTAAACCCACTGAAAGCTTGCTAATGCCTGCACTTAATACTAAAGACTGGGTCACAGGTATAATTGTTCAACCATTTTCCCATGTAAAACTTACATGATGGAATAATCCAAAATTTATTTATTTATTTTTTTGTTAAACTGGGTCTTTAAAAGTATTAAATTAGATTTAGATTAAATTAATTCTTTGTAGATTAAATTAATTAAATCTTTGTAGACTTCAAAATGAATTTACCCGGGCAATGGGGAAATTTATTGGCAATTTAGTCAGCATATTATTTAGTCTTTGATGGTACTAGAGTGTTTGAAATTCCATATTTGTTAGAATTTTGGAAGTATCAAATGTGACATCTAAACTGTTAACCCATTTTTATAAGAAGTTGAAGGCCCTAGATGAGACTACTATTATTAATGGGATCTTAGCAACAAACTTTAATGTCTCATTCATATTAATGAGGGGGATGTTTGGGTTTTTGTTTGTTTTTAGAAAAAAAGTGAAATTAGTTTCCTTTGAACTTAAAATGAAATCAATACAATAGAAAGTTTCCCTTCACGTCTCTAGTATTTAAAAATTGGTTGAACTTGCCATGCTGCTGTAGATGCAATTTAGGAGCTGCAATATTCACTAACAGGGTTTGGTCTTGTCTTACTATTGTCACATTTTTGGTAAAATTTGGCTAAAATTTACAGGATTATTAATATGATGTTCGACTGCCTCCTGGGTGTTGATATATTTTTTCTTAGCTATATCCCTAGTAACTGGAATCTATCCAGACTTTCAACATGGGAGATGGCCAAAACAATTGTAAAAGAATGTTTTAAATAATATATACTGCAGCAACGTATTTCAAAGAGATGCTTCACAAAGCATCTAAATGAGAATAAATCCCCTCTATTCAAAATATTAAAATTATTTTAATATTAATATTAAAGCAGCCATGATTTTTGCAAGACTCACGCAGCTTCTCTGAAAACTGACCCTGGATCACTTCACTTTGCTGGAATGCCCACAAGAAATGTTATCTGTAGATGCATATGCAGATGGTGCCAGCTGGGAATCACTTTCAAAGCAGCAAAAGATGTGCCTATTTTGACACTTTGGAGACAGCTGCTTCATTCGCATTAACGTGCTTTACAAAATCTCTTGTACAATCAAATATATATGCCTTTTCTTTGTTTGCTATGAAACTATACATGTGTTTGAATTTTCTTGTTGCTGCAGGGGAGGTGGGGGGTTTATTGGCGTTTTGTATTTGGGTTTTAATTCTGTAAGCTGCTCAGAGCCACCATGTGTGAATTGGCCAGCCATGTAAATTTGTTTAATA